AACAAATTTGTTTAAATACTTTTTTACTGCACACAACCGCTGCCACAAATTTAATTTATTTATTTACTCAAGCGCCCGAGCCATTTCAAAACCTTTGGCGATTTTAGGGGATTATTATTAACGTTAATCTTCAGAGTTTTACAAGTCCTCAAACAGTAGGCTTGAGTTTGTCCACTTAACAGCACATCCGCAAAACATTTCAGAAACACGAGATCAAGAAACTAACGTTATCTGGAAATTAAAATAATAACAAGCCTTATTCATTCCATTTATAAACATTTCGTTTCATATAGGGCTAAACTGCCTATAAAGGCTATGCATGTGATGTGATAATGAGAACATTTGCCTCTGCCCTATAACTTTACACATTTAATGAAAACACAGTAGGCCTAACGTTACTCCAGGTTAAAAAATAAAATAAAGTTGTCAAAAGGAAAAGACATTGGAGTCTATTTGCCAGCCCGATATGAACGTAATATCCCCCTTTGTCACCCTCCACATCTTTCCCTTCCTCTTTGTATCGTCTGTCTAATATAGGCCTATATTAAAAACAAACAAATAAATGCTCACCTAACCTGTTGTTATCATAGCTATCCACCGATCCATGTTGTGGTTCTGACGACACTGAGCTTGAATGTCACGGCCGAGCGCCACTAGCCTATTTTAGTAATCACGCAATAACTTGACAATTTAATTTACATTTTATATAAATATAGCCCTACATATTCTTTTTACTTTTTGTGGGAATTTCCTGGTAAAATGAAGGTAAAAAAAATATATTATTTAATATTTTATTTAGCCTTTTCACGGACCACCTGCAGTACCCTCACGGACCACTGGTGGTCCGCGGACCACAGTTTGGGAATCGCTGGCGTAGAGGCATGGAGTTCATCCAGTTTGTTCCTTAGCGATCTCACATTAGAGAGGACTATAGTTGGAAGTAGGGGTTTAAATCTTCTTGCACGAACGCGGCGTTTAATTCCTCCTCTCGAACCACGCTTTCTCTTTGTCCTGTCAAGTCGCTGTTCAGTTGGACGTAGGCATTCCAAAGGAAAGTCTGTTAGAGGTGTCCACTGCAGCTGCGTTGCTAAGCCCAGCTGAAGTAGTTGATGTCTGCCATAAGTTATCTTAAATGGCTCAGCGTTTGCCAGGAGTAGAGAGAGTAGAGTGATCACCAGGAAAAGTTCCAAGTAAGCCATGCTGCTGTCGATTGTTTACATCCAATTGCCGGCGTTTATATTCGAAGCAATCCAATCAAATCAAAAAACCCGAATTAACATAGAAGTTCCGCAATTTTAACAGACTTTAACAGACAAAACAAAAGAAAATAAAACAACGTACTAACAAACATTAACCAAACAGTCAGAGCTCCCGTGTGCGTGTCAGCCGCCGAGCAGCGCCACCTTCGGATACTAGACACGTGACTTTCAAATGAAAGGTTGGTATCAAAGAGCACACACACACACACACACACACACACACACATACACACACCCAGGTTCCTAACCGACAACGAAGACTTGACAGAGCAGCCATCAAGTGTTAGACAGTATTCTAAGTTATTTCGTGAGGAAGTTTTTTGTCCAATAATTAGAATCTCTTTTTTCCCCCCAGAATTTAGTAGTAGGAAATTGCTAGTCATCCAGTTTTTTATATCAGCTATGCATTCCGTTAATTTTGTGAATTGGTAAGTTTCGTTAGGGAGTGAAGAAATATAGAGCTGAGTATCATTAGCATAACAGTGAAAACTAATGCCATGCTTACTAAAGATATCTGCTAAGGGTAGCATGTACAGAGTGAACAGAAAAGGTCCTAGTACTGAGCCTTGTGGTACGCCATACTGAACTTGTGATCGATAAGACATCTCTTCATTTACTGCTACAAACTGATAACGGTCAGATAAGTTCGATTTTAACCATGCTAGTGCAATTCCACAAATGCCAAAATCATTTTTGAGTCTATTTAAAAGAATGTTGTGGTCGATGGTGTCAAATGCAGTACTAAGATCGAGTAACACTAATAGAGAGATACAACCACGATCGGATGATAAGAGCAAATCATGTGTGACTCTGATGAGAGCGGTCTCAGTGCTATGGTACGGTCTAAATCCGGACTGAAAATCCTCGCAGATATCATTTCTTTCTAGAAAGGAACACAGTTGTGAAGATACTGCCTTTTCTAATATCTTTGACAAAAAAAGCAGATTCGAGATCGTCCTGTAATTGACTAATTTTGTAGGATCAAGTTGCGTTTTTTTAACAAGTGGTTTAATCATAGCCAGCTTAAAAGTTTTTGGTACGTATCCTAGAGACAAAGATGAATTAATGATATTAAGAAGAAGATATATGACCTCTGGAAGCATCTCTTTCAGTAGCTTAGTCGGTATAGGGTCTAACATACATGTTGTCGATTTAGATGATTTAACAAGTTTAAACAATTCTTCATCTCCTAGCAATAAATTAATCGAATTTTTCGTCAGAGAGACTACAATGCACTCCCTGATGCGATACTGTAGTAGACGGTTGCATAGTTATAATTTTCTCCCTGATATTATCAAACTTGTAAGTAAAGAAGGTCATAAAGTCATTACTGTTGTGCTGCTTGGAAACGTCTGGGGTTGAAGCTTTATTTTTCATTAGTTTAGCCACTGTTTCAAATAAATACCTAGGGGTTTGTTTATTTTCTTCTAATAGGGTTGAAAAATAAGCAGATCTAGCAGCTTTTAAAGCCTCTCTGTATGCAATCGAGCTCTCCTTCCATGAAATGTGAAATGTGAAATGCCTCTAGTTTTGTTTTCATTCTCGTTGTAAAGTAAAGTTTCTGTCGCAATATCGAGTTCTTCTAAGCTATCTGGGATGCTGAGATGATGAAACTGATCAGGAAGATTATTAATTTGCTTTTCTTTAGTGGCAGAAGTGATAGGTCTAACATATTTGTAACACGGAGTCGGTTTTGCAGCCTTGGCTAAATTAAGTTTACACGAGACTAGATCATGATCTGAGATGTCATCGCATGAATTTCATGTGATAATATTCTTGAACATCTGAATTAAGGGCGATTCTGAATTCTGGTAAGAACTGGTCCCACCTATGATGGTTGTCATCCACATAGGCTGCCATCATGCTCTTTAGAATTCGATTTAGTCTTTCCGGCATGTTAGTTTGTGGATGTTAAGCTGTAGTTAATTTAGGAGTAATACTCCAATTCTCACACAACTCTCTGAATATAGATTAGACAAACTGAGCACCTCTGTCTGAGATAAAGAAGTCACGTACACCTCATCTTGTCAGGATGTCTTTTCTGAAGATGGAGGCAACATTCTGGGCTGTGGCACTATGAATGGGGAACAACTCAACCCATCAGGAATAATAGTCAACAAAGACCAGCAGGTATTCATTTCGGTTTGTGCTACATGGCAAAGGGCCCATGATGTCGACTCCCAGCATTTGGTTTACTGTTTTTAAATGTGTTTGCTGTTTTTAAATGTGCTATATAAATAAATACAAAGTTGAACTTGAACTTGAAACATGCCAATATCAACTGTTGAGATCAATAGTAGAGAAGATGGCTGCCCCAGAGAGGGATTCCAGAATATCTGTGATATTGGGAAGAGGGTAAGCGTCACTTTCTGAATTGGGAAATGTAGATTGTGGGTCCATATTTGTCTGGGTCGTTTGTTAATTTGAATGTGTTATGCAGAAAGTATATTTTGGTGTGTTTAAGTTTATTTTCATTTTTGCTTAATGGTAAATGTGATTTCATATGTTTATATATTTTAAGTATTTTTTTATATTGAAGTTTGAATTGATATTGTGTGAGACCCCTGTCATTATAAAATGGTTTGGGCTGATTTATTTGAAGGACTTAATTGTGGCTGAGTTAGTTCTGGTGAGGGATCCCAGAAAACATCTGAGACCCAGAACTCAGTATTTCCTGGTCAACTGAGGAGGTTTTCTTAACCTTCAGAATGAACCTTTCTGTAATCCACACAGAATCTACATTTTTTGTCTTTTTTAGGTACTAAGGACACCGGTGATGCCCAACCAGAGTGGGGTGGTTCAACCATTCCTTGCCTCAACATATCATCAAGTTGCTCATCCAGTGCAAGTTGCTTTATGGGAGACAAACGGTATGGTCATTGTTTGATGGGTACTTGACTGGTGCTTTAGATGCGGTGTTGGAGAACCTCAGTACGTCCAGTATGGAGAGTACATACCTGAGGGCTGCCTTTCAGGATTTGGAGTAACTGTAGCTTACCATCAAAGGGTAATTGAGCAGCATTTTTTATAAAAAATAAAATGTCTGGAGTTTCTATATAATAGAATTTTTTTAAAATAGAATGTCTTTTTATCAATACTGTCAAGTTGTTGAATTTGCAATGGCGATGATAGAGGTGGAACAGAAGTCATCAAGGAAAGGTTTTGTGTGGCTTTCTTAAGTTTGTACAAAGTACATTTGGACTTCCTGGATGAAAGGGGTACTCTTTTGAAGGATCAAGCTTGAAGGAGTATTTCTGATCAACAACATTGAGTTTCAGCCCACTGAAGAAGATAAAGTCCAACCCCAAGACTACAGCATAGGCTAGGACTTGGGATATAAGTACAGCAGCAGGTAAAGTGAAGGCTTGGTCGTGTAAATGAATTGTGGTATTTAGCCATCCTTATGGAATCTCTGCTTTTCCATTTGCCAGATAAAGAGGACCACGGGACCACGATTGGATCTGGTCTGGGGATGTAGGCTGCCTCATAAGATTCTCATTGATGAGTGTGTAGCTTGCACCAGTGTCCACAATGGCCTTACCTAAACAGGCATCTATACAAAGGGGGACAACTAGTTGTTGAGGGATTGTAACACGTTCATTAGAGCTTGTAGATGAGGAGGAGGTTTTCTTGGTTGCTGATTGTGACATTAATTTTTGATGCAGCAACAGAGTTGTTGGAAGGGTGACCACCTGACTGGGGTGATAAGGATGCTTGCTGCTGATAGAATACTGTGGACCAATGTCTGAGGTGACTGTGGAGAGGTATAGTGTGGACATTTGCCTGGTGGATGCTGTCCTCTACATCTCCAACATTGAACTGGGATTTTCTCAGCAGGTTGGTTTGAGGAGGGTCTTTGTAATGTGGATAGATGTTTAGGGCCCATTCAACCAGGATGTCTGCATCTGTCAGGGGATGTAGAGGCAAAAAATCCTTACATTTGGTTCGGTACAGTAGGGGGTCTGCATCGTCTGAAGGCCTTACAATTGTGGGGAAAGTTAATTTGATATGGTCGCTTTTCACCACAGATGTTAAAAGAGGAGTTGAAGAAGTTAAAGGAGTTATTGGAGCAGAATCTGATGGCAGGGATGAAGTACGGGTGGTGCTGGGATCTGGTGGTGTCAATAGACTTAACTTTTGTTGATCTGCACTTTCTTTGACACTTTGAAATCCTTTCTCCACTTCACTTTTCAACTCTTTTAAACTGGTGAGACATGTGTCAGTTTGAGTAACACATTGTTGGAGTTATGAAGTTATCTGATCATGGCTTGTTTGGAATGCGTGTTGAACAGCTTTGATGTCCTGCTGAACCTCTGACTGGAGCTGATCAACCATGAAACGTACTTCAGACACCAGGTAGATTCCTCCTTTTGGAGTTCTCCTGTGATCATTAAATTCATTGCTTTAGTTAGCTTACCTGCTTCAGACTCCTCTTGTTGTTTCCTGGTAGTAAACAGGGACATGAAACCTAAGACTTGCACCTGAAACTCGAAACCTTAGACATGAAAGTCGAAACTTGAAGACTTGAGCAATTGAATATTTGACATTTGATTTTGAAAGTTTAAAAAAAAATTGTGAACTGTTGAACACTTGAATAAAAAAAACCCCTCTGAAACTCTGTGATTGTAAACTTTATTTTTGATAGAAAATTGGTGAAACAGACTATCATCCTTCATTTAGATTAATTTATGTTGCAGAAAGGGAGAAGGCTTGTGTGGACAGTAAGTTATATCATAAATAAATGTGTCATTTGTTTCAAGCACATTTATAAATATAACACTGAATGAGACATGTATGATAATTTTTTTTTACTTTCATCAGCAACAGAACAGCATGAACAACATGCCCTCTAAATGAGAACTGAAGCAAGATTTGGCACAGTATATATATATTTTTATATATATAAAGTAAACAAGGTGAAAACATTAGTGTTGTCTATAATGTGCCATCTGGGGGCAGTAGAGCTCTAAAGCGTAGTCAAGTCAAGTCACCTTTATTTATATAGTGCTTTTTACAATACAGAGTGTTTCAAAGCAGCTTTACAGAGATAACAGGAAAATAATGCAACAAAGTTTGTTTCCAGAAGAAAATAGCTTCACCGTCCAGCTTAAGTAAGCTCATTGATGATTAATTTTGTTGTAAAAAAAAGTAACAAAAATAATAATAATAATTTAGTTAATTTATATAGCCACTCTGGAGAAAAACGTGATGTCATCATCCAGCTCAGTTCAGTTCTCATATAATGGTGTCAATGCAGGCAGATCAATAATATTGTTGAATATTAAATTAAATGTCCCCAAGTAATCAAGCCAAAAGCCAATGGCGACGAAGGCGAAGAAAGGCAAAAAAGTCGACAGTGGAACCAAAACTCCATCAGGGCAGAATGGAGAGAAAACCCTTGTGAGAACCCAGACTCAGTAGCTCAGTTCTCCTCTGGCCAACGAGCCAACAGTGTGTGATTATGATTCAGGCAGCATTACTGGTCAGACGTCAGATTGGATCAGAACATTCAGAATATTTATCCAGTTCATCTGCTTGAAGATCGGAGTCACGCCGGTATGGAGACGAGTTTGTTGAGGATCAGTGCCGATGGCTGTCGTGTCGATGAGGCCTTACAGGGGAGAGTCTAGTTGACACAATCTCTGCTGACACTTCAGGGATGCGTTCTGGTCGTGTCTAGGCGCAGGTCCTCCATCTGATCTGGATACGGCCCAGATCCGGCTGATTAAAGTTAACCTCGGAATAAACAGAAAGACTAAGATTAGCGTAAATGCCATTCTTTTTAGGCAAGGCAAGGCAAGTTTATTTATATAGCACATTTTATACACAATGGTATTTCAAAGTGCTTTACATAAAATAAATTAAAATAACCAAAAGAAATAAGAATAATTAAAACAGTTTAGAATAAAAAAAGAAAGTAAAATACAGTGTAATCAGTCAGACGCAGAATGGCACAGTGCTCATTCAGTAAATGCACAGCTAAACAGAAGTGTTCTGAGTCTGGATGTGAATGTGACTCTAGGAGCACATCTGATCTCCTCTGGAAGCTGGTCCAGCACATCTGATCTCCTCTGGAAGCTGTTCCAGCACATCTGATCTCCTCTGGAAGCTGGTCCAGCACATCTGATCTCCTCTGGAAGCTGGTCCAGCACATCTGATCTCCTCTGGAAGCTGGTCCAGCACATCTGATCTCCTCTAGAAGCTGGTCCAGCACATCTGATCTCCTCTGGAAGCTGTTCCAGCACATCTGATCTCCTCTGGAAGCTGTTCCAGCACATCTGATCTCCTCCGGAAGCTGGTCCAGCTCATCTGATCTCCTTTGGAAGCTGTTCCAGCACATCTGATCTCCTCTGGAAGCTGGTTCAGCACATCTGATCTCCTCTGGAAGCTGGTTCAGCACATCTGATCTCCTCTGGAAGCTGTTCCAGCTCATCTGATCTCCTCCAGAAGCTGTTCCAGCACATCTGATCTCCTCCGGAAGCTGTTCCAGCACATCTGATCTCCTCTGGAAGCTGTTCAAGCACATCTGATCTCCTCTGGAAGCTGGTCCAGCACATCTGATCTCCTCTGGAAGCTGGTCCAGCACATCTGATCTCCTCTGGAAGCTGGTCCAGCACATCTGATCTCCTCTAGAAGCTGGTCCAGCACATCTGATCTCCTCTGGAAGCTGGTCCAGCACATCTGATCTCCTCTGGAAGCTGGTCCAGCACATCTGATCTCCTCTAGAAGCTGGTCCAGCACATCTGATCTCCTCTGGAAGCTGGTCCAGCACATCTGATCTCCTTTGGAAGCTGTTCCAGCACATCTGATCTCCTCTGGAAGCTGGTTCAGCACATCTGATCTCCTCTGGAAGCTGGTTCAGCACATCTGATCTCCTCTGGAAGCTGTTCCAGCTCATCTGATCTCCTCCAGAAGCTGTTCCAGCACATCTGATCTCCTCCGGAAGCTGTTCCAGCACATCTGATCTCCTCTGGAAGCTGTTCAAGCACATCTGATCTCCTCTGGAAGCTGGTCCAGCACATCTGATCTCCTCTGGAAGCTGTTCCAGCACATCTGATCTCCTCTGGAAGCTGTTCAAGCACATCTGATCTCCTCTGGAAGCTGGTCCAGCACATCTGATCTCCTCTGGAAGCTGGTCCAGCACATCTGATCTCTTCTGCTTCCAGCACATCTGATCTCCTCTGGAAGCTGGTCCAGCACATCTGATCTCCTCTGGAAGCTGGCCCAGCACATCTGATCTCCTCTGGAAGCTGGTCCAGCACATCTGATCTCCTCTGGAAGCTGGTCCAGCACATCTGATCTCCTCTGGAAGCTGTTCCAGCACATCTGATCTCCTCTGGAAGCTGTTCAAGCACATCTGATCTCCTCTGGAAGCTGGTCCAGCACATCTGATCTCCTCTGGAAGCTGTTCCAGCTCATCTGATCTCATCCAGAAGCTGTTCCAGCACATCTGATCTCCTCCTGAAGCTGGTTCAGCACATCTGATCTCCTCTGGAAGCTGTTCCAGCTCATCTGATCTCATCCAGAAGCTGTTCCAGCACATCTGATCTCCTCCTGAAGCTGGTCCAGCACATCTGATCTCCTTTGGAAGCTGTTCCAGCACATCTGATCTCCTCTGGAAGCTGGCCCAGCACATCTGATCTCCTTTGGAAGCTGTTCCAGCACATCTGATCTCCTCTGGAAGCTGGTTCACCACATCTGATCTCCTCTGGAAGCTGTTCCAGCTCATCTGATCTCCTCTGGAAGCTGTTCCAGCTCATCTGATCTCCTCTGGAAGCTGTTCCAGCTCATCTGATCTCATCCAGAAGCTGTTCCAGCACATCTGATCTCCTCTGGAAGCTGGTTCAGCACATCTGATCTCCTCTGGAAGCTGTTCCAGCACATCTGATCTCCTTTGGAAGCTGTTCCAGCACATCTGATCTCCTCTGGAAGCTGGTTCAGCACATCTGATCTCCTCTGGAAGCTGTTCCAGCTCATCTGATCTCCTCTAGAAGCTGTTCCAGCACATCTGATCTCCTCTGGAAGCTGTTCCAGCACATCTGATCTCCTCCTGAAGCTGGCCCAGCACATCTGATCTCCTCTGGAAGCTGGTTCAGCACATCTGATCTCCTCTGGAAGCTGGTCCAGCACATCTGATCTCCTCTGGAAGCTGTTCCAGCACATCTGATCTCCTCTGGAAGCTGTTCCAGCACATCTGATCTCCTCTGGAAGCTGTTCCAGCTCATCTGATCTCCTCTGGAAGCTGTTCCAGCACATCTGATCTCCTCTGGAAGCTGGTCCAGCACATCTGATCTCCTCTGGAAGCTGTTCCAGCTCATCTGATCTCATCCAGAAGCTGTTCCAGCACATCTGATCTCCTCCTGAAGCTGGTCCAGCACATCTGATCTCCTTTGGAAGCTGTTCCAGCACATCTTATCTCCTCTGGAAGCTGGTCCAGCACATCTGATCTCCTCTGGAAGCTGTTCCAGCTCATCTGATCTCCTCTGGAAGCTGTTCCTGTTCCAGCACATCTGATCTCCTCTGGAAGCTGTTCCAGCACATCTGATCTCCTCTGGAAGCTGGTTCAGCACATCTGATCTCCTCTGGAAGCTGGTCCAGCACATCTGATCTCCTCTGGAAGCTGTTCCAGCACATCTGATCTCCTCTGGAAGCTGTTCCAGCTCATCTGATCTCCTCTGGAAGCTGTTCCTGTTCCAGCACATCTGATCTCCTCTGGAAGCTGGTCCAGCACATCTGATCTCCTCTGGAAGCTGTTCCAGCACATCTGATCTCCTCTGGAAGCTGTTCAAGCACATCTGATCTCCTCTGGAAGCTGGTCCAGCACATCTGATCTCCTCTGGAAGCTGTTCCAGCTCATCTGATCTCATCCAGAAGCTGTTCCAGCACATCTGATCTCCTCCTGAAGCTGGTTCAGCACATCTGATCTCCTCTGGAAGCTGTTCCAGCTCATCTGATCTCATCCAGAAGCTGTTCCAGCACATCTGATCTCCTCCTGAAGCTGGTCCAGCACATCTGATCTCCTTTGGAAGCTGTTCCAGCACATCTGATCTCCTCTGGAAGCTGGCCCAGCACATCTGATCTCCTTTGGAAGCT